GTATATATATATATATATATTTGTATTGCAAACAGTGCAAGTACCTGAATGTGACATATACTGTATATATATATAGCACTGTTGTGGAGCAGGCCCCTTTAAGGCAGACCCAATGTTGCAACTGACCAGGGCTTCTGATAGCAGGGACTTCTGGGGCGTGAGTTGTTTGCTCAGGAAGATGCTAGTAGGACTGGCTATTAAACACTACATGTCCCAGAATGCTATGAGAGGGGAGGGAAGTGCACTCTGGCTGCAGGAGGACATCTGGATTAATTTCCTGCATGGAGGTGGAGAGGGCAGGACGTCTGTGGCTGCTGTGAGTGTGAAGGCTGCTGAGACTGTATCCTGTTTCTCTCTCTGCCCTGCTAGTAGGCAGAGGGATGAATGGAGCGTGACAGCCTGCCAGGTGATAGTGTGAGCCAACCCGGTGACACTCACTACCGCTGTGCACTGATCGTGAATAGGGATTTAGCATTTATTAGTACTGAAAACACACTTTTTTTGGAGCCTGGTTTGAGATTCCTATTGACTTCAATGATATGTCTGATTCGAAAAGTCTGTATTTTGGCGGTTCACAAATTTTGTAAAAAATTCAAAGAACTTACAAGTAATCAAACTTTTCAGAAATTGGCTCATCTCTAGAACTCATCAAATATTATGGCACAACATCAAAGAGTATAATATACATCTTACCCTTTCTCCCTTGGGTCCTGGATCACCTGGTTTGCCAGAAGGACCCTGAAGACGAAGCGAATGGAAACCATATTACTTGTGATGTGAAACAATGCATGCTGGACACAGGAAAAGAGGGCAGGGAGGAAGGCAGAGCATGGGAAGGGATGAAGGTGGAAGGGGGAAGAGAAAGAGGTAGCAGAATGGGAAAGGAATGTTTAAGGTAAAGGGATGGGGGAGAGAAGGGACAAGGTAAGGAGGGGGAAGAAGAAAAGCAAAGGGTAGGGCAAAGGTAAAGTATGGGAAATTCTAAGGGGTCTATTCACAAAGCTGCCGAAGGATCTGGCCGTAGCTCCGGCCGATCATGATGGACCTGATGGGGACAAATGTTGTCTTGTTGCCTAATGTATCTCCCCTCCACTTCCAGGCGCCATTGTAACCAGATAATCAATGTTATTCACTTCACCTATCAGTGGTCATAATGTTATGGCTGATCAGTGTATAGCGCCAACAGCTTTCGCAGCGCTTTACAATATCAGGTAGACGTTAGAGTTACAATACAATTCAAGAGAAGATAGTTGGATAGAATAAAAAAACACACAAAAAAAACAAACAATAAAAGGATTTTAAAGTTTTATTCAATAATAAATAAAAAATAGGTTTTAATTAACGCTGAAAGAGTAGACTTGCAAATTAGTAATTTATGTCAAATTCCTTACACCAGACATGAATTATTTGAATTATTATTTGATAGCTTATAGGAATAAAAAAACTTTATAGACATATACTGTCAGGTCAAGGCGATGGATAGAGCAAAAGCAATTAGGAAAGGAACATTTAAAAGGGAAGGTTAATGACAAATAAAGTATAGAAGTAGGAATAGAGAAAAGAAATGGGGAAGGGAAAGGGTAGAGTTGGGAGGAAAGGAATTGGGCAAGAAAGTAGAGGAGTAAGAGAAGTGGAAAGAAGCAGTGAAAGGACAGAGCAGAGGTGGAGTCAGGTCAGCCTGTCACAGCATCAGGAGTGCATTCCAGTGCGTTCGGCCCCTGGAACGCACCCTGGCGTTTGCACCCTAGTGTTTGCAGCATTTTTTGCAGATCGCACTGGACTGGAACGCAGGCACTAATGTGCCACGTGTTCGGGTGCCGGCGATTGCACCCCGGGTGGGGGGCGTGGCTGCGGTGCCATTTAGTTCAATGCACCGCTGAGCCGGCCAGGTTGTGTTCCAGTGCGTTCTAGAGGCCGAACGCATGTAAGGGAAAAGGGACAAGGAAAGGATAGAGGTAGAAGAAGTGAATGTTAAAAGAAAAGGCTGAAGATCCAAAAGGGAAAGGTAGAGGTAAATGTAAAGGGTGGGGGAAGGAAACCTACCTCTTTTCCAGTGGGACCACTCTCTCCAGGTCCTCCCTAAAAAACACACAGACATGTTTACTTCTCAAATGCCGATGAATAATATGATATCTTTATAGATGTTTGGCCTTCGGCATATTGGAATGAATGCAATACATTTATTTGTTGCTGACATTAGTCCCCTCATTTATTTTAATAGATAGTAAGTACTAGTGAATTTTAAGAGCATTTCAGGTTTGGAAAAGGCTGACCTTAGTTACACAATGTAATATTTGATTACAGGTATTTATATCGCTCTTTACATATGGTGCAGTGGTTGGTGCTTCCACCTTGCAGCACTGGGGGTCCCCAGTTCAAATCCCAGCCAGGTCACTATCTGCAAAGAGTTTGCATGTTCTCCCTGTGCATATGTGGGTTTCCTCCTGGGTACTCAGGTTTCCTCCCACACTCCAAAAGCATGCTGGAAGGTTAATTGGCTCCTGTCTAAATTGGTCCATCTGTATGATAAGGACCTTAGATTGTAAGCTCCTTGAGGGCAGGGACTGCAGTAAATTTGCTCTATGTAAAGCGCTGCGTAAATTGTTGGGGCTATATAAATATCTATAAAAATATATATACACTCACATCAGTCCCTTCCCTCACGGAATTTGCAATCCAAGGTCCCTATCTCACATGCATACTAGGGCTGCAACAACTAATCGATTATGAGAATAGTTGGCAACTATTCTCATCGAGAGAGATATATTAGCTGCAGCCCTAATGCATACATACACATACTAGAGCCAATTTAGACAGGAGCCAATAACCTACCAGCATGTCTTTGGAGTGTGGGAGGAAACGTATGTACCCGGAGGAAACCCACAAACAAAAACATCTGATTAGGTTTGTTGGCCCCTAGTTTGGCAGTTTGAAGCTGTTGCTAATTGCGCCAGGAAGCTTAGGAAGTTAGGAAGCTTTAGTGCAAACCTTCTGTTTATTTTAGTTAGAGTGCAAAAGGCTTATTCACCTGCCAGAGTTTTATTGATGAGCACACACTATTGAATGGATACCCCTAACAACAATTTTCCACACCACAAAATGAATAAAAGTTTAATCGTGGAGAACAATACAAAATACATTTCTAAAGCATCTCCCAGAAAAAAAACTAAAGGTTTTTAAAGCACAAAGACTTAAAAACACTCCCCCCCCCCTCCACCACTTTAAAATATCAATACAACAGTCTCTGAAACTGGCAGGGAACTTAAAATGAGCCCCGAGTTCCACCAACCCAGGTCAGTAAATAGTATACATCAGGGGGAATTTATCAAAACTGGAGAAGATGTGCATGGCAACCAACCAGCTTCTCTTTTCAGTTTGTTCAGTTAAGATTTGAAAATGAGAGAGAAGCTGATTGGTTGCCATGCACATCTGCTCCAGATTTTGTCTGCTCCAGTTTTTTTATTACAGGTATTTATATAGCGCCAACAAATTTATGCAGTGCTTGACATTCACGTGTTATGTAAAATATAATAAAAAGACCTAGAAAGCCCAGCACTAGCACTGCGTATGCTGACTTCTCCTGCAGAGCGAAGATCTAGGTGGTTCTAGATGGTTTTCAGCTGACTCATTAGTGATGGGAAATCCCAAATTTTGACTTGTGACTGGGACAGGGATACATTAGAAAGCTTCCAATGGGACACTTCTTCCGGTGACAAATCTCTAAGAGGGAATTGTTTTTCACTTTGGAGATATCTCCTCCTACTTGTCTAGAAGACAGGAAGTGAAAGGAGATCCCCAAAAGGGACAAATATGGCAAAACAACTGACAGGCGTCTAATCGGCCCCTACTATATACAAAATGAGAAAACAGTTTAGGCCTGTTAGGACATGAGATCAACACATAACCAATGTCAATGTATTGTATCTAATATCACTTCCTTACCGGTGGTCCTTTAGGTCCTTGAAATCCTGGGATCCCAGCAGTGCCTGCGTCACCTTGGCTTCCTTTGGGGCCCTGAATTGAATGGGCAACATTATTACTTATCAAATACATAAAAGGGCATGAGGAGGGCATTTTCAGTCTGAAGCTAAGGTCAAGAACACAGGGACGTGACCTCAAACTAGCAGGAGGAACGATCAACACTAACTTCAGAAATAATTATTTCACTGAAAGAGTAGTTGATAGTTGGAGGTAGTGAGTCAATCAACAGTAAGTGAGTCTTAAACATGCTTTGAACAAATATAGATCTATGCTCAAACAAAGAGATTAAAAGTATAAAATGAAATAAATATATCAATACATAAGGGGCAGACTAGATGGACCATTTGGTCTATTTTGCCATCACTCTTCTATGTTTCTGGAAAAAACAAACTAAAAACAAGTATGTTTATTGATCTTTACCATCGAGCCCGGAGCTCCTGGGTTCCCTGGAGGGCCAGCTACTCCGTTCTTACCCTACAATATAAAAAAAGCAACAAAAATGGACTTAGAGATATACTTTCATGCTGTAGAACTATGCACCCCTCAATGTGTGGACCTGGGTGTCAAGGGGAGCCTGAGACACCACCGCGGCGTCAAAGAACATTCCACAGCCATGTCTAGTCATGCCACGGCTCCCTCTTCAACTGTCAAGTTTATTATTAGATACATCAATAAACAAGATGAATTCTCCTATGCCCTCACAATGAATACAGAGTGCGAATTCACAGGGAATATTTCATGAGCCTGATCCTTTTATTTTGTGTACAATGAAATCAATAAAATATAACGTATACCCTAAGGTAGAGATATTATCATTTGTATTAAGTGGCTGAATGTAAATGTGCTGTGCCAAGTATACTGAAGGCGAAAAAAGGAAACGTTCTGTCAGTGGCGTAGCAATCACCATAGCGACCCAGGCGGTCGCTATGTGGCCCGGGGCACAGTGGGGCCCGGCCAGGAGTGCCGGTCAGTCAATGAGTGCCAGCAGCGGCGGTGGAGCAAGCTGGACCCGGTGTTCTGTCAACCTCGCGAACCTCTGACGTCACCGGCAGTGGAGGAGGAGGCACGGCCCGTGCTCGGCAGCAGGGGAGGAGGCGGGGCCCGGTGACGAAGAAGGAGGCGGGCCCGTCAACGGAGGAGGTAAGGAGGGTGACCCTGCAAAGCCCACCATAGATAGTCTATGGTGGGCTCTGCAGGTTCACCCTCAGGTGGGAACTCGAGTGGGCTTTGCAAAGGGTATAACTAGAAATCACGGGGCCCCATACAAAATTTTGCTATGGGGCCCTATGATTTCTAGTTACGCCCCTGCGTTCTGTTATTATGTTTTCATGTAAAATCTTTACAGGGAAGGTTTACAGTAATCTGCATTTTGAGCTATTATTGTATTATTTAGCTTAAAGTAGATCTAAATCCAATCAGTAAACTGTCAGATAAGCTATAAAGAGAACCTGTCAGCAGCTCACCTGTTTCATTTTGAATTCTTATAATACATGAAGGCCAAGTGGCATATTTATAATGGAGAGCGGATGTTGTTACAGTACATCCCATTTATAAAATGTGGGTTGTGCAGTGCAATGCCTCCGTTGCTTAATGCAGCAGAGAGAGTGTCATGCTTCTACTCTCATTCACTTCTATTGCCTGCTTTAGGTTCCTGAAGCTGGTGGAGCGCAATGCACATTTGTAAACCACACCACTGTTATTTATAAGGCTAGGTCCACACCTAGGCGACACCTCACCGTGCGGCAATTGTGCACGATTCCCGCGCAGATTGCTGCACGGTCAGGAGTCGCCTTGGTGTGAACCGATCGCGCTGTGGGTGCCATTATATTCTAATGGCACCCCAGTCACGCCGGGCGGATCGTGCGGTTTCCCGCTGCGATACCACCCGTGCTTCCGAACATGATCGCGGCTTCAAAAGCCGTGCGTCGTGTGTTGCAAAAAGAAGGAACTTGTACCTTTTTTCTGCGATTGCCGCGCGGATGTCATTGAAATCAATGTGGCCGCACGGCAATTGCAGCCTGCAATGTACAGGACCCCCCCGAACCCCATGAGAGGGGGGAAAAGATGCATCTGCATTAATGTATTAAAAAATGTGCAGCTTTCTTTTTTATTTAAAACCATATATATATATATATATATCTATATATATATCTATATATATGTATCTATATATATAGAGAGACACAGGAATCCAACACTTCAGTAACACTTCAGTGTGTCAGTTCCTAATATGTAGTTGCCCCCTGCAGCTACTGTCACAGGTCATGCTATCACCGGCAGTGTTTGGGCCATTCGCTGATAGAATGAATGACAGTTTTGTCATCCAGCTCCCTGAAAAAACTCAAGGAAGGCCAGACACTGTTTGATGAGCTAAAATATGGCGGCCCATATACAGTACATACATATGTAATTGCAGACTATACAGTAGATATAAGGGGTTTTTAAAGCAATTACAAGTTAATTTACATCAAGGTAAACTCAAGGAAGGGAGGGAGGTAGGGAGGAAGGAAGGAGGGAAGCAAGGAAGGAAGGTAAACTTGTAAAATAATGATGGAAGGGTAGTAAAACCAGAGAGAGGAAGGCAGGAAAAGAGAGTGCAGAAGGAAGAGAGGTAAGAATAAATTAGAAAGAAGGCAGGAAAGAAGAAAGGAAGGAAGACAAAAGGAAGGAAAAGAAAGTAAAGAAAGAAGGAAGAGAGGGAAAAAAGAAAGGAAGAAATGGGGAAAAGAAAGGAAGGTAAGCTGGAAGAGGAAGACAGGAATGAAGGAAGGTAGGAATGAAGAAAGGAAGGCAGGAAAGGTAGAAATGAAGGAAGAAAGGAAGGAGGAAAAAAGGAAGGGAAAAAGAAAAGGAAGGATTGAAGGAAAAAAGGTAAGAATAAATAGGAAGGAAGGAGCAAGGAAGGAGAATAAAAAAGTAAGGGAAAGAAGGTAAGGGAAGGAAAAAAGAAAGGAAGAAAGGGGGAAAAGAAGGAAGGTAAGCAGGAAGAAAGGACGCAAGGGAAAAAAGGACGGAAGGAAGAAAGGACGGAAGGGAAAAATGAAAGGAAGGAAGGAAGATAAAACTAGGAAGGCAGCAAAGGAAAAAAGAAAGGAAAGAAGGAAGCAGGAAAAAAAGAAAGGACGGTACTGTCTGCTTTGTTTTTAAACAAATATTATAAATATTCCTTCTTTAAACATTTCATATTTTGTTAGAAATACACGAAGCTTTTGGACAATTGTGTTTCATCACCAGAACATACAGAGTTTTTATTGGTTCTGAAAATCCTGTTTGCTGGGCACCTCTTCTACCTACAACTGGCACCTGAACATACAAGTAACACAGTGACATCTGCCCAGAGCTTTGCATGGGGCGAGGCAGCCAATGCATCACCAAATATGAGGATTTTGTTTTTGGACACAGTGACGTCAGTTGCAGATTACTCACCGAAGAGGTTAGACCACCTTCCATCCTCCGACAGATAATGATGACACAATACATGCACAGAGGTAACACTGAATATACACATTAAGCTCTATGTAGTAACAATTCCCTTTACAGGGAGTTCTTGTTTCCAATAAGATATTACTTTCTCCGGAAATGCTGCGATACCTGTATTTGTATTCCATTGAATGTATCACTGATCTGTAAAGTGGGGTAAAAATTGTAATTCTAACGAGGGGGCTATTTTCCCAAACATAATACCCTAAATGTAAAAGATTTGGGGGATTATCAGCAGATATTTAAAGTGAGTCCTTTCTGTTACTGTGAAACCATATCCCTTCATAACAGAATGACAGGGTCAGTGCGTAGTTAGTGTTTAATAACCCTCTTGTTACTGGAACCCCATCCCCCCATATGTTAAAAATGACATTCTGGGCCTGAAGATTACATCAAGTCTGCTAAACAATATTTGTAGTCAGAGCCCCACTGATTCGTACCTGTAACATGATGATGATGACCCTACCTAACCTTGACCTGAGGTGTGCCACGGTCACTATGGTCAGTATGCAATAACGGGGCACACTAATTTTGATGGAAGGGGTACGGGAGGGTGGGATGACACTATCGTCCCGACGGGTGAGTGGGGGAACCAGAGGGGCTTAAATGTGCGGGGCTCCTCCCACAAATTCGTCCAATAATTGGCCTCAAACTTATTTTCTATAGGCAGAGCCCCTGTTGAATAAAATGGTGGCATTTACAATATTTACTCACTCACTCAAATTGATTTTAGGGCAAACAAAGACAATATAACACCCAATTATTTTGTTTGAATTGTTGTAGTTTGTTGGGGGTGTGCAGTGCTGGCATTTGTTGCTTTATATACTTTATTCACTCTTATACTGGATTTGCTGTGAATTTCAATAAAGTCTGCAGTCTTGGAATTCTCTGGATAGTGTGGTCTGTTCGTATACTACCCAATCTTTTGTTAAAATATAAAAGACGAAGGTGCATCAAGTACATAAATATGAGATATATCAAGCCTAACAGGGTTATGCACAAAAGGGTGAGGAGTTTGGAGAAGGCAGGAGAAGTGAACAATCTAGACCAGAATAGCTGATGTGGAAAGTGAGCTGAATTGGAGAATTTTTCCAAATCAGCTATTTTGGCCTAGAGTGTTTACTTCTCCTGCCTTCTCCAAACTCTTCACCCTTTTGTGAATAACCCTGTTAATTGAACGTAACCGCAAAAAACTACGGTACCCAAAAATGTACATTGAAAATGCTTTAAAAGCTTTTAAAAGGTCCTCAGTTGTGAATGATGGCCCTAGATATGTGTGGTGCTATTGTCATTTGCATACAAATACGCACCAACAAGTGCATTTATGCTCACATGCGCATGCATGTGGGGGCTGGGGGGCTTTTAAAACATTTTTGAGGTCCTTTTTAATAAATTTTTACTAAACTTTAATTTTTAAATCTATTTTTTTAACTAGCTTTATTTTTATCACAGGGGGGATGATACATTGGTGGCAGCCAAAGGGTTCAATATTGGAGAGTTAAAACCCCTGTCAGTTTCTTATGTCTTTCTGGGATTCTACTGATGAGATCCCAGTGCTGAGTTCCCGGGTCAGTACACCTGCTGTGCCCATTATGAGGGGCTCCCTCCATCCCTGAGCTCCCGGCTCTGTACACCTGCTGTGCCCATTATGAGGGTTTCCCACCATCCCTGTGCTGAGTTCCCGGGTCTGTACACCTGCTGTGCCAATTATGAGGAGCTCCCACCATCCCTGTGCTGAGTTCCCGGGTCTGTACACCTGCTGTGCCAATTATGAGGAGCTCCCACCATCCCTGCTGGATATTTTATTTTTGCTATCATGCAATATGTAACAGGAGGTACTGGAACACGCAAAGGTGGGTGGGGACATCTAAGTTTCCCAGGTGGTCAGGAACAGAGTCAGGAATCGTGGCAGGAGGATCCCATTGTTGGAGTCCACCCGTCTGCTCCTACAATATATCATTTTTGGGTGGACTGCCCTTTAAGGCATTTTCATCACAGAATATATTTTATATATTTTACTAAAATTATGTTTTCTTTATTGTTTCTTTTTAATGAGAAAGGGACAGAGCCAAAAAAATACACTTCTAACAGATTTAAGAATTATAGACAAAGCTCAAGTTGACTACAAATGCCCCAATTTTTGTTCAGTGATGTGGGAAATTCATCACATGGAGCTGTGATTGACACTGTAGCTCTTTGACATATTGCACAAAAGATTTGTATATTGATGGTGGGGAGGTGTGGTCCTTTAAAAGATCATTTAAAGGGAAAGTGTACTTATAAATACCATATAAGATTTTAAAGCAGAGAGTACAGTTTTCTTCTCTACTATAAAAAAAGCACTTACAGGAGGTCCACGAATTCCTCTCGGACCCTGATGTCCAGGTGGTCCGGGGTCTCCCTAGTAGATGAACAAAGACAAAATATTTACTTATGTTAAAATAAGCAACATGCATAGGTCAAATATATAAAGTCAGATTTACACACCACCGAAAACTATCTTTTTTTAATAAATTAAATGTGAAAATGTTGCTATTTAAAATTATATAGTATTCTATCTAGACAGGTAGTGGTGCTCTGGTCACATTATTACAATGATTACTTTTCAACTCCTTATCAGCAGGCTCAGTTGGTTGTCTCAGTCACATAAAGGGAGCTGCAAAGCAAGCTTCATCTGCTGTGTGGTCTTTTGAGCTAATCCATAGTGCTCTGGGAATCTTTTGTCATGTATTAAATGTCTGTTTGCAAATTAAACATTGCATGCGTATTATAAAACCAGCCTTGCACTATTTTTGGCAATACAGCACACTATAATGCACAGTAGTGTGATACTATGCATTGTAGTGTGCTGCAACCCCTGTGCATTGGCACTGCATTGCCTTAATGAGTTGGGGAGACATTGAAAATGAATGGTACTTGAACATAGTAATGCACATAATGCACCGGACATGGGTATTTTAATCCTTTGGACGTTTCATATCCATAGTCTGGGCACAGGTGCACTTTAATACATCTAAAATGAAAATCATGGATAATTGCTGCTTTAATAAGGCAAAGAGCAGAGCACAAATAGAGGGCTCTAATGAGCAGCCATCTTTCAAAGATTTGAACTCTTAATGTTGAGTAGTTGTGTTCTTGCACCTGATACAGTTGCTTTGCTCTTCCTCTGCTTTACTGAATAAAACCTGAACAAGAACATATAGCATGTGATCTAATTACTTACATCTTTTCCTGATGTTCCTTCCCGCCCTGGAGGTCCTGTTGCACCGGGCTCTCCCTGAAGGGAAAATGATTACTGTATATAGCTTTAAGGTCTTGTTCTCATGCTAATGCAATAAAGATGTGCCTTGCGGTATGCTGCCATTCAAAGTTAATTACACCCCAATACACCCCCAAATCTACAGCGCATTGCTACAATCATATTCCCTGCGTATTGCATTGTGAAAATCAAGCCAGGACATTTTTTTTTCATTTGCGTGGAGTTGAGCTGATAGTCCATTAAGAAAGTATGGGCTGCCTAAAGCAACATAGCTCAATGCAGGAAAACACGAGTTGCATCTGGTGAAGATGCTAGGTCTTGGCACACTTATATCCAACCTCCACGCACGTGCTAAACTCTCGACTTTCTCATCTTTGTTTTTTCATTGGAACTCTTTTCTTCCAAATAAACCTTCAACTCCTTTCACAGTGAGCAGAGGTTGCTGTTCTCCTTACCATAATAATACATTGAAGTGACTTACCCTGGAGCCGGGAATACCAGCATCACCTCTGTGGCCCTTGAAACCCTGGAAAATAATACAGTTCTCTATTAATGTCTCTTCACCATAATATGAATTCTCAGCGAGAAATACCTGCAGAGAAGTGATAAATTAAAGTCTCAAGATTTGCTCTGGATTCACTGGAGGAGACATTGACATTCACTCTGCACGACAGATACGTGCAATCTGACCGGCATGTGGAGAGCTAGTGAAGGGATGAGCCATGTGTAGACATCACGTTGCTCTAAGCACACCTGAATAATGAGACCCTTATGTACAAATGTTGCCCCTTGTGCCATGTTGGAGGTGCTTTATATTCACAGCTAACCTTTACCTTCTATCTGTTCTGTACTTCACAGAACGACAAACAAGAGAAAGTAGAGATTATTTCAGGTTTCTTAAATATACAGAGTCTTCCAAATCCTCTATGCATACCCAACACCCACTTCCCTCAACAGTTCTCTTGATGAATTTAGCCACAAATGTCCAGAGATGGGCAGAAGAGGGAAACAAATAGACATTGGCCAACGAAGGCTATCCTAATCCTGGTGGAGGGAATATATCTTGGTATAGAGAAGGCTGCACTTGAAGTATTTTCCCCCAAAATCTTTTCAGCTGGATGAGATGTAGGCAGTGGCATAACAACCTGGAGGGGTGGGGGGACTGATGTAGTGGTGCGGCTGCTCCGGTCGCAGAAATGGGGGGAAAGGAGGGGGTAGCCGGCCGGCCAGGCACTGAACACAATTAGTGGCTGAACACTAGTGATACACCGATACCAGTAGAAATACACTGATACCCACAGCTGATACCGGCGATTACATTTATGCTAATTAAGCAGCTGCCTTAGATCCCACGGCTGCATTTTGTTGTGCCTGAAGAGGGGGCACACTGCCACCTCTAGGATGAATAGGTGTCGGTGGTGGTGCTGGATGAGAGGAGAAAGAGGTGGCTGAAGCTGAAGAGCGGGGCTCACATTGCCATCAATATATCCTGAAGGGTAGGTGTTTGTACCCAAGCCTATAAAGAGGGGATAGAGGGGATCTACTGCCTATAGGGGGATGAAAGAGATCTGATACCTACAGAGGGTGTATGGAGTGGATCTGCCTATAGGGTGAATGCAGGGGGATCTGATGCCTAGGGGGGAATTTTAGGGGGATCCGCTGCCTATAGGGATAGCTGCTGCCTATAGGGGTCTGATGCCTATAGGGAGAAAGGATGGGATGGTATAATTCTGAATTGCTGTATAATGTATTTCTGGGATTTGTAGTTCTCTATAGCTGATGGTATTATTCTGCATTGATGTATAATGTATTGCTGGGATTTGTAGTTCTCTATAGCTGATGGTATTATGCTGCATTGCTGTATAATGAATTGCTGGGATTTGTAGTCCTCTATAGCCTGTGCTATTCTGCTTAACTTGAAGCATGCAGACTCATGGAAGGGCACTTGGATCTATTGTTTGAATGTTCATAACTTCCTAAGACATTCATACATTCGTCACCAGTTATTTATTTTTTTCTATTGCACTAAAAAGTGTTTATTCATATAAAATGTGATGCTCTTTACATGTTGAAATATCCTTATAACCAGAGGGACAGAGTGAATTGGGGAGGTGTTATAATGGGGGAGAGGCGCAAAGTTTTGTTCTTTTCCAGGCGACCGTAACTCTGGTTATGCCACTGGATGTAGGAATAGCTGGGAATTAAAACCATTATCCAGCAAACTTTATTAGCGGCAACAGTTTGAGCAGCACATTGAAAGGAGAGACAATACAAATCTAAAGGGTAAGGAGAGTCAAGTGATGAAAAAAATGAATACCTTTCCCACTCCCTCCCATCTATTTAAAAAAGTTCTCCATCTGCTTCCATTGGTGCCAACACTTGGTGTGGAAACCAGTGATCCAGAGCTGCAGTCTGTACCCACGCTGACAGGTCCACTCATAATGCTGCTACAGTACTAAGCCCTGATGATGGGGAGCCTTTTGAATCCCTGAAACGTGTTTGTTTTTTATGATACAAGAGTCTGAATAAAATAAAATCTGGACTTTATACATTCTGCTTTTCATGCTTTCCTTCTTGCATGCATATGGTGGCTGCATTCATTTTCTTTTCTTTCAGGCTCTTTTCCTTTATTTCGGTGATCCTGTCAATAACACTCTTCTTGTTCAACAGTGACAACACTCACTCACTGTAACATATCTATGGAGGAGTAGTAGTTTTAGGGCAGGAAGTGTGTTAGGTCTACAAATGAAGAGAGAGGAGAGATGTTCTGTAGTCCTAACGCATCGCCTGAGAGCTTTACCCAAGATCAGACTGCAGTGTGCACAGGACAGCTCTGGATTTCTGGCAGGACCAACAGACATTCTTTCACGCTTATCGTGCAGATATAACACACTTTTAATGGTATATCTAACAAACCAAATGGAAGCAAATAAGAGCAACTGTTTGTTAGGGTTCTACAAAGAATTCTGTAGCTATGTTAAAGTTATATTTACTAGATTGTAAGCTCTCACGAGCAGGGACCTCCTAACCCTATTGTACTAACATTGTATTGTAAATGTACTGTCTCCTCCCTTTTGTAAAGGGCTGCACAAACTGATGGCGCTATATGAATTCTGTATGACAATAATAATAGTAATATATATTTTAAATTGGCTAAGTGTGGCAATAATGGAGCAAAGGGGCTGCAAGCGGCTCATAAACCATCGGCCTGCCATTCCGGTGCTGAGATCGATCAACTTAACACGGCAGTTTTTTAATGGAGGTTAAACAGCAGAAAGCGAAGTGTTAAAATCAGTCAGCAATAAACCTAGCCCTGCATATATCTATGTGATGTAATCTATTCCTTCTCCACTAATCACTGGAACTGTACACATATCAATTCTACATTTCCCAACTCCATCTTATTCTTAATGAGGAGATTGATTTCCAATAGACATTCTGTGCACTGTATCATGGGTCATAGGGTGAGCTCTATCATTCTCTCTGTATTACTCACATATATCTTAGCTATACAGGACGGCTCCCTCTGGGGAGGTGATCTAACTGTCTGGAGTTCCTCTCTCTTTTTTTAACTTCTGTGTAAAGTGATGCCTGCATGGCTTTATTGCAACGAACACCATTGTAGCGCATTGGTTCGAACAGGTCTTATGCAAAGCAAGGCTTTTTTCCTTGTCTTTACGGTGGGACCGCATTGGGCAAAGCTGCCCAACAAAGCCCAGTGGGACTGGTGTGAACCAGCCCTAAAAGTATAACATTCAACAAGTGAAACTATTGCATGAGCTACTTATGCTCTACAGCGAGGTGGCTGCAGTCCACTGCAGTCTCCCTTTGTCACTGTTTCCATCTTTACTGGGTCTTCTTCTGGGTTTAAAATCTTTCCATCTTTATAGGCCAGAGCATGCCTTTTGCATTGTCTTTTATTGGGCATTAGGCAATGCCGCTCAAAGGGACTGGTGTGAAACTGCCCTAAAGGTATAACTGCCATCAACAAGTGCAACCATTACATGAGTTACTAATACTCAACAGCTGTCACTGCAGCAGTGATCAATATGCTTTACCATAAGTGAAGGGCTGTGTAATCTACTGCTCAAATATAAACAGTGCTGGATGTAGAATATTCGAAAAAACCTTTGGTCTTAAGAGAAAATACTCTAAGAATATCCAATCCTAAAGGAAAAATACCCCAAGACATTCGATTCCAAGAGAAAATTGTCTAAGAACATTCAATCCTAAGAAAAAATATCCTTCAGGAGGAACTTCAGGATTAAAAAAAAAAAAAAACTAACCCTTGAAGTGGGGCTACCCCCGCATTGCAAGGGTTAACTGCTGGTTTTGGTCAAGGGGCACAAATAAGAAAATACTCACCTGATCTTCAATGCCGCTGGGCTGCTAGTTTGGTCCCTGCAGCATCTTCTGCCCTGTGCTCCTGTAGTCTAAGGACCACTGGCATTATCACGTCTAATTCAAGTCCATTGATTTGCATTAGACGTGGGTATGCTGAGGGATATACACAGCCAGAGCAGAGAGGGAGAGGAGGAGAGAACACTGATTGCCACAGGACCAAGGTTCAGGTGAGTATATGTTCTTTATTCTGGCCCCTAGAGAAAAACGAGCACCTAACCCTTGCAGTGTGGGGGTAGACCCACTGCAAGGGTTAGTTTTATAAAAACCTGGAGTTCTTTATTGAAACATTCGATCCTAGGAGAAGATAGCCTAACAACATTCAATCCTAAAGACGAAAGCTTGAGAACATTTTAGTAGGAATGCCCCGATACTGTTTTTTCAGTATCGAGTACCGATATTTATATTTCCATACTCGCTGATACCGAGTACCGATACCGGTTCTTCCACTAGCACGGAGCCGGCTTCCTGGGCAATCAAGAAGCCGGGGGTGGCAGGTAATGACACGCCGCCTGGCTTCTTGAATGCCTGGGAAGCCGGCTTCATGCTGTTTGATTGGCTTCATACTAATTGGCCGGGAAGCCATCTCCATCTTCCCTCGAGACAATGCCGATCAGAGAAAATCTCCCTCTGTCCAGAAGTTCCAGTATCAGGGGTAAGAATTGGAGCATTGGGGGAGTACAAGTACTCGGTATCGGCACTGATACCGATACTAGTGGTGCATCCCTACATTTGAGCAGTAGAAAAAAATACCCTAACAATATTTGATCCCAAGGGAAAATATCCTAAGAACATTTGATCAGAAGAGAAAATACCCCAAGGACATTAAGTTTTGCCCCATTCACACAACGGCCACAGCTTTATACATCATGTGAAAAATCCTTGGAACTAATTGAATATACGAATATGAATGCTGGTTAATTAATATAGAGCTAATGTACAGTACACACAGTTTAGTTATGATTTTTATTATAAGCAAACCCTTGGATGCATGGTTTGTTCACTGAGTTGCCCTTTTTCGAATACATTTGCTAGATAGAGGAGAATGCTTATTTAGTGCTTCATTACATGAAAAAAAACATGGCCGAAACTGATTGCTTTTCTGTAACAAAAATGAAGCGAGCATCTTTTATAGAAATAAAACTGACAAGTGGAGGAGAGCACAGCTAGATACAAAGACAACTCATATTTACAATTATCTTTTTCGCTGTGATGACTTTGGCTGGCTGTCACTTTGCCATCACCAATCTTTCCTGAGCGAACCTACAAGAATAGCATATTGCTGCTTGTTATATGGGATTGTGGTCCATAGGAAGCCTGTATTCAAAGGTTTCTATATGGGTTACCAGTGCTGACCTTGCTCTGTAAACGCTTGTTGCCTGGCTGTCATGCCAATCCTTTGACTGCAACATTTTAAATCACCAGACCTGGAAAATGATGTATCAAGTAAAATCAGGATGGTGTGTCAGTGACTTATTAGCATGACCGCCAGCTGAAGAGTATTTTTAAGAGATGAAGTTACCCAAAGCAGTCTATAGGGTTCTTCTGGCCTAGGTTTTATGGCAGATAAGATATGAGAAGGTTTGGGAGGTTGCGCTACAAAGACCCAGATGCTGGTACTTACCGGAAGTCCTCGTGCTCCTTCTCTTCCCAGTGGGCCTGGTTCTCCTGGCTTTCCCTAAACGAAACAAAGTAGATTTACTCAGAGGTGGTGCAAAGTAATTCAGATGTACAGAGATGTATAAGAAACACTGAAACATGTATGGACAACCCCTTGGAGAACTACAGATGGACGTTTGTGCCTCTCTAAATCTCTACCTCTACCCAAGTACAGCCAATGGTGTGCAGATCTGATGTGTAGGGGATGATGAAAAATGAATAAAAAAAAAAATAATTATTACTAACTAAATATATTTCAGGACAAATGAACAATACGTACATTTGGTATCTCAGGGGAGGACCCGTTTAGTCCCTTTTAGCCTACCTCACCATAAGTGAACCACTCATATGGTCTCTGTCACTGCAGTGGGGCAGTTGGACCCTGGATTCGGCAGGGCAGCCAACATTTTTCCATGCTGATGGTTTTAAACCCACTCCAAATATATTCCGCAAGTTAGCATGGAAAGCAGAGCTACCCTGCATCTCTTGTCTTCTGTCATAGCCCCTACAGCCAAGAATGTGACCCCTCAACATTCCAGTACTGGTCACAGTACTACAATAAGCTGTGATGATAATTGTTGTACTTTATTGGAAAATTGACTATAGGGTCCAAACCCCCTGACATCTTGTTCATCCACTAAGGACCTAGTACCTAATGGATGCTTTCAGTATACACTTTCAGTACCAGAATCTTTGAAAGAAAGAACTTTATGGACCTGGTAATGCTCATACCCGCCTTCCTGACAACTTTTTCTTAGTCAGTAAGGTCATTTAAAGCGCATTCTTAGTAATACAGTATGTTCCTATGCAAAGTACAATACATATGGCCAACAGTTTGTGGACACCTGACCATCACACCTATATATGAACCTGTTGGACATCCTATTCCATTAAAATGGACCTGGTCCTCCTTTGTGGCTATAACAGCCTCCACTCTCTTGGGAAGGCTTTCCACAAGACTTTGGAGGGTGTCTGTGGGAATTTGTGCCCGTTCAGCCAAAAGAGCTTTTGTAAAGTCAGTTGGATGAGAAGACCTGGATCCCTATCAGCTTTCCAATTTATCCTAAAGGTGTTCAGTAGGGTTGAGGTCAGTGCTCTGTGTAGGCCACTCAAGTTCCTCCACACCAGACTGTTCAAACTATGTCTTTATGGAGCTGGCTTTATGCAACTGAACCCATTCATTTGGAGAAGAGGCCACATAGTTTTATAGTGCGGGTGTAAAATGGTGTGAAGATGTGGTTCTATATCTATAGTCGGGCACTTTCACTTATACAGAGGGGTAAGGAGGGCCACTTGTGCTGCATGGTCAGGGTATATATAT